TTTGCACTGTTTTTATTATTGCATTGGCATATATACAATATACATCTATAACAACCTGCAGTCTGCGGCCTCCTTCCTCTTCCCCAGCACCTACCTACCCCCCCCCCAAAAATCCCACCCCAGTGGGGATCTCGGCCCAATTTGCAGGATTTTGGGCCCAGTTTCTGGGATATCAGGAAAAATGTGCAGGATTTCAGGACCAATTTGTGGGATCTTGACCCAATTTGTGGGATCTTCACCCAATTTGTAGGATCTCGGCCTGAATGTGCAGGATCTTAGGCCCAATTTCTGGAATATCAGGCCAAATTTGGGGGATCTCTGCCCCATTTGCAGGAGTTGGGCCCAATTTGTGGGAACTCGGCTTCAATTTGCTGGATTTTAGGCCCAATTTCTGGGATATCAGGACAAATGTGCAGGATTTCAGGCTAAATTTGGGGCATCTCAGCCCAATTTGCAGGGTGTTGGGCCCGATTTCTGGGATTTCCACCTCAGTTTGTGGGATTTCGGCCTCAGTTTGCAGGATTTTAGGCACAATGTGTTGGATCTTGGCCTCAATTTGCAGGATTTCAGGCCAAATTTGTTGGATTTCAGCCCTGATTTGCAGGATTTTGGGCCCAATTTCTGGGATCTCGGCCTCAATTTGCAGGATTTTAGGCCCAATTTCTGGGATATCAGGACAAATGTGCAGGTTTTCAGGCCCAATTTGCAGGATTTTGGCTGCAATTTGCAGGATTTCGGGCCCAGTTTCTGGGATTTTCACCTCAATTTGCAGGATTTTAGCCCCGTTTGCAGGATTTCAGCCCTGATTTGCAGGATTTTAGGCAGAGTTTCTGGGATATCAGGCCAAATGTGCAGGATTTCAGGCCAAATTTGCAGGATCTCAAACCCATTTGCAGGATTTGGGGGTCAATTTCTGGGATTCCTGCCTCAATTTGCAGGATTTTAGGCACAATGTGTGGGATTTTGGTCCCAATTTGCAGGATTTCAAGCCAAATTTGTTGGATTTCAGTCCCGATTTGCAGGATTTTAGGCCCAATTTCTGGGACAGCAGGCCAAATTTGCAGGATTTTAAACCAAATTTTTGGGGTTTCAGTCTCAATTTGCAGGATTTTGGTCCTGATTTGCAGAGTTTTGACCCAAATTTGCAGGATTTCAGCCCTGAGTTGGAGGATTTTGGTCCCAATTTGCAGGATTTCAGCTGCAGTTCACAGGGCAAGGGCACGGAAACAGCTTTAGGGGAGGAGGGGGCAGGGCAGCCCCGGAGCCAGCTTGGGGGGGGGCATGGGGAGGTGGTGTCCCCCATTCCTGGGTGCTGTCAGCTTTGGGGTGTCCGTCCATCCCCCCGCTCCCCATCGCCTTTCCCAGGTGCTTGGGGACAGGAGC